GAGTGTTGGCTGGCATTCTAGTGCTGGCACCTTACCCCCGTTCTTAAGTGGAGCTGCTGGCTCATTCTAGGTGGCAGGAATGTGGAGATTGGCTCCATGGATGCTCAGCGGGGTTTTCACAATCCTCACGGGAGTCAGTAGCCCATTTCTCAGGGCTCTCAGGCAAGCGTATATCCTCAGAGTTTAGGAGGTTTAGCTATAGGATGTGTGGCTGCCCGATCCACAAGAGATAGACCGGGGACTGTTTCCATTTTCTCCTTTAGCTGTGACAGGTTAAAGGCATATAAAGGTTCAGGATAAGGGCAGCTCCAAAACTCAATTTATTAATATTGATGATATTGATATTGATATATAGATATTAGTGTTAGCATTATTGCCATCATCATCATCATCCGTATTGGTTGCTTAATTGCCAAGACAGCTTTTAACCGGTCTTCAAGTATAAAAACCGATTGCAAAAACACGGATAATTGAAATGCACAATAAAACAATTTCATCAAAACGTTAAAACATTCACAATTAAAACGTGCGATAAAGCAAAGCCCATTAAAACAGCACAATTAAAGAGAGTTAAACCAGCAATTGAAATGAGTGCGGAGATAAGGGGATTGTTTGTCTATGCAGGTGCGTATTCGAGAGCTGGCGGGATGCCAATGCTGATGGGACCCTTTCGTATTTCAGTAGGGAGGGCATCCCACAAGGCTGGGGCCACCAAGGAAAAAGCCTGCCTCTGTGTTAGTGATAAGGCTGTGGCAGAATGATCTGCGTTCGATTTGATGGTCTGCATGCCCTTCCCATTGTCTTTGTCCATGGAGTTTTCTTGGCAGGGATACTGGAGTGGCTTGCCGGTTCCTGCTCCAGGTGGAGCAGGAAGGCTGATCGCTGAAGAATTGGTGCTTTTGAATTCTGGTGCTGGAGGAGACTCTTGAGAGCCCCATGGACTGCAAGAAGATCAAACCAATCCATTCTGAAGGAAATCAGCCCTGAGTGCTCACTGGAAGGACAGATCCTGAAGCTGAGGCTCCAAGACTTTGGCCACCTCAGGAGAAGAGAAGACTCCCTGGAAAAGACCCTGATGTTGGGAAAGATGGAGGGTGCAAGGAGAAGGGGATGACAGAGGACGAGATGGTGGGACAGTGTTCTCGAAGCTACCAGCATGAGTTTGACCAAACTGGGGGAGGCAGTGGAAGACAGGAGGGCCTGGCGTGCTCTGGTCCAGGGGGTCACAAAGAGGCGGACATGACTAAACAACTAAACAACAACAAAATGCCCTTCCCAGGAAATGGAAGGGAAGGGAATTTTTCAGGTAACCTGGTCCAGAGTATTTTTAAAAAGGAATTTATATATAACCAGCAGGAGCTTTAAAAAGTCCCAGTGGCTAATAGGCAGCCAGTGTGATTCCACGAGAACATGAGATTACTGGATCAGGCCAATGGCCCATAAAGACCAGTATCCTGTATTGGAGGATTCAGTATTGGAGGATGGATGGCGGCTAACAGATTGAGGTTGAATCCTGACAAGACAGAACTATTGTTCTTGGGGGGACAGGAGGCGGGCAGGTGTGGAGGACTCCCTGGTCCTGAATGGGGTAACTGTGCCCCTGAAGGACCAGGGGCGCAGCCTGGGAGTCATTCTGGACTCTCAGCTGTCCATGGAGGCGCAGGTCAATTCTGTGTCCAGGGCAGCTGTTTACCAGCTCCATCTGGTATGCAGGCTGAGACCCTACCTGCCCGCGGACTGTCTTGCCAGAGTGGTGCATGCTCTGGTTATCTCCCGCTTGAACTACTGCAATGCGCTCCACGTGGGGCTACATTTGAAGGTGACCCGGAAACTACAACTAATCCAGAATGCGGCAGCTAGACTGGTGACTGGGAGCGGCCGCCAAGACCATATAACACCGGTCCTGAAAGACCTACATTGGCTCCCAGTACGTTTCCAAGCACAGTTCAAAGTGTTGGTGCTGACCTTGAAAGCCCTAAACGGCCTCGGCCCAGTATACCTGAAGGAGCGTCTCCACCCCCATCGTTCAGCCTGGACACTGAGGTCGAGCTCCGAGGGCCTTCTGGCGGTTCCCTCCCTGCGAGAAGCCAAGTTACAGGGAACCAGACAGAGGGCCTTCTCGGTAGTGGCGCCCGCCCTGTGGAACGCCCTCCCACCAGATGTCATAGAGAACAACAACTACCAGACTTTTAGAAGACATCTGAAAGCAGCCCTGTTTATGGAAGCTTTTAATGTTTGATGCATTACTGTATCTTAGTATTTTGTTGGAAGCCGCCCAGAGTGGCTGGGGAAGCCCAGCCAGATGGGCAGGGCATAAGTAAATTATTATTATTATTATTATTATTATTATTATTATTATTATTATCCTGTTGACACCCACAAGCCGGACCTGAGCGCAAGAACAACTCTCTTGCCTCCTGTGGCTTCCAGCAATTGATATTTAGAAGAATCGCTGCCTTTGACTGCGGAAGCAGAGACAGCCATCGTGGCTAGTAGCCACTGACATCCGAATTTGCCCCATCCGCTTTTAAAGCCATCCCAAGTTTCTGCCTTCCTGTGGCAGTGAGTTCCACAGCTCAACTCTGCTCTGTGTGAAGAAGTCCTTCCTTTTCCCCCTGTCCTGGGTTGTCCGTCTTTGGATGTACACGAGTTCGGGTGTTAGGAGAGGGGGAGAAGAAAATGTCTCTCCATTGGCTTTCTCCACGCCAACCCTGATTTCACGCGCTTAGCGCAGGTGCAATATCCCTTCGCACAGGTGTGATAGGAGTCCGATAAGAGGGAATCTAAAGGACCCAAAAAGATTGTTTATGTGTGCGACAACAGCCGCACGGATGCTCTTGGCCCAGAGATGGAAGGAAAAGTCAACACCAGAGAAGAAGGGCCAAACCAAAATGATGGACTATGCCCAAATGGCAAAACTACCTGGGAAGCTCAGAAATCAAGAAGACAAGAACTTTTTAAAAAAAGAATGGGGACGGTTTATATTTTATTGTATATACGAGACCACTGCAAGCAAGTTAAAACACTGGCAGGATTTTAATCACACTTGCAAAGTATGATACAATACGATACGATAATCTTTATTGTCATTGTCCCATACAGAACAACGAAATTGAAAAAATCTACATAAGACATTCAAAAACCAACAAGCCTGCTATCCCAGCTATCCCAACCTGGTTAGTCCCCTAAGGGAAACTATGGACAATTTAGAAGAAAAAATATGTGGACAAAATTGATATGCAGCTGTAATTATTTTTATTAGGACCCACGGAAGCGATGGGGGGAAGTCAGGAGATTCAGAGTAATTTCAGTATTTGGATTTTGAATTGACGTTTGTTGTGTGTTTATATTATTTAAATCAAATAAAAAATTATTTTTTAAAAAGGAGTAGTAGAAGATAGAGGACAGCTTCCTGCGTTGTTTGCCTGGGGCCAAGTCTCTGTGCTTCAGGAAAGCAAGTTTCAGATTTGAAAGCCTAGCTGTGACCCCATCCACAATTCTTTCTTTCTGTCTTTCTCTTTCTTTCTTTCTTTCTTTCTTTCTTTCTTTCTTTCTTTTTTCCTCTCTCTCTCTCTCTCCACTCTCCTCTCTATCTGCCTGTCTGGCAGCGGGGAGAGGATGGGCCTGACGGACTAAGGATGCTTTTGGACCGCTGCCCCGATCAAAGTGAATCGAATTAGTGCCTGGCTGCGTATTAATCACCGTCGCCCGGCTCCCTGCTTTAGCCTTGCCCGCTGGCAGGTGGAGAGACACCATTTGTCAAGCGGTCCGGCTAACAGATTAATCAATGCGGGGCGCTGGAGGCGGCTGCGTCGTGCCTGACGCTTGCCGATCTGCACGTGATGCCAGAGGGGCTGTGTCTGGCTATGTGAGTTGCAGGTGGCGCCAAATGGCCGTGGGTCTTCCTAAAACGCCTTCCTCGCATTGAGTAATCTAGCACCTCAGGGATAGGCGAGATATCTCACTAAGATACAGGGAAAGGGACATAGCTCAGTGGCAGAGGGTTTCACACACAGAGGGTCCTGGGTTCAAATCTCGGCAGCTCCAGGTGGGACTGGGAATGACCTCTGCCTGAAATCTCAGGAAGCTCTTTTGCCAGTCAGTGTAGACCAACCCTGGGCTTAGTGGATCGGTGTTCTGACTCAGTAAAACACAGCTTGCTGTGATCTCATTTATTTTATTTTATTTTGGCTTTCACAATAATATTAATTATTTTCCATACATAAACATAGCAAAAGAAAAACATGAACAGTAATAAAGGAAAAAGAGAGAAATAGAAAAAAGAAAACGAAAAAAGAATATGGAACATAAAATAAAACAAATCATCACTACAATAATACTTAATTAATTAATTAAGATCCATCTTCATAAACATATTATTTGACTTCCTCAAATCTCCTCCATCTGAATTTCTTAGTAATTATATGTAGCAGTTTCCAATATCATTATTTCATAGAACCATGTCACAGTCATAATCATATTTCCCAACTTTTCTTATCGTACATTTTCTTATTTATTTATTTAATCCCAATTTAGTCCTAGGCCTAATTGATTCTTTCAAGTGATTACATATCTATAATATTACAATATTTATTCAGATAGTCTTTAAATTTCTTCCAGTCGTCTTGGTGTTCCTCTTCCTTCTGGTCGCGGATTCTCCCGGTGAGGTCAGCCAGCTCCATAAACTCCATCATCTTCATCTGCCATTCTTCTACCGTTGGTAGTTCTTGTGTTTTCCATTTTTTGGCTAGTAAAATCCGTGCAGCGGTTGTGGCATACAAAAATACTTTTAGATCTCTTTTGGGCAATTCAGAACCTGTTATTCCAAGGAGAATGGCCTCTGGTTTCTTCATAAAAGTATATTTCATCATTTTTTTTAATTCATTATAATTTTTTCCCCAGAAGTCTTTTACCTTGGAGCAAGTCTGTGCTGTGATCTCATTTAAACCAGCTCTTTATTCGGAACCCTGAGGACCAGTAACTTGCTCTTTTTCTAGGGCGGACATCAGTAGTTCAGTGGGAGAGCTCCTGTTTTTCACACAGAACCTCCCAGGTTCAATGCCTGCCGTCTCCAGGTAGGGCGGAGTGGAAAATCTCCTGCCTCAAACCCACGTACTGAGGGAAAGCGTGCCTAAGGATGCATATAACCGTGAAGATAACATCCAAAAACGCTTTCTGTCTGGGGGAAATGGCTTCGCAGAAATGCAAAAGGAGGTGCATTTTAGGAGAAATTCACCCGGAGATATGACAAATATTAATGAGGACTTTTCTTTTCTTTTTAATTGCAAATCACTGCAGAAATGCGGAAAATTTAAGGTTGGGAAAAATGAGCGAGCCTGAGGACAGAAATGGACGGAGCCATCCATCCCTGGTGACCCCAAGAACAGTTAGAAAGCCTTCGTCCTTTTGCTCCCACAATCCTGTTTATTTTCTCCGACGGAGAAGCAGTTCTGTCCCTAGGAAGGATATGGCCTGTCGAGGGATCAGATTGGCTCCCGTCCACAATTGCTCTTTAGGATTCATCGCTCTTACTCTCCCCCTCCCTCGCCTTTTCCTCTTTCCTCTTGGCTTTGGGTGGCAGAAATCTATTTGAGATCCTCCAGGGCTTGTTGTTTACGGAGTCCATGGGGCCTTTCTGGGGGTGAGCTCTCGGTGCCACGGTGGCTGGGGTGGAAAGTCGCTGCAACAGGGAGAGAGCCCAGCGGAGCGTTTTGAAAGCGGCTCTCTCTTTTCTCCCAGCTGTCGCCCTCTGGAAGAAGGGAGAGGCTGTCGAACTCTGCGATAAACGCAGACAAGGTTCACCGTTAGACTGCGGAACTCCCTGCCACAGGAGGTAGTCATGGCCACAAGCCTAGATGGCTTTAAAAGAGGACTGGGCAAATTCACGGAGGAAGGAGGGATGTTGGTGGCGACCAGCCGCAATGGTTCTGCTCTGCTCCACAATCAGATGCAACGATGCTTTTGGATGCCAGTTCGAATCCTGCTTGCTGCTTTCCCGGAAGAGGCATCTGGTTAGCCAATGTGATCCTGTGGCCTGATCCTGTAGGCTTCTTCTTATACTCTTATGAGGTTTCCAGCAACCCTGTTTCCATTGATTTCTCTCTGCCGGCTGACCCGAGACTGTATGCTCATCGGGGCAGAGACATCTTGGCACAGGGTGTCAAAAGAGCCTGCATTTTTGGACTTCCAAAGAGATGGAGGTGTAGATTGGGACATCCCAAGATCGATGTAGCCCTTTCTGTGGACTAAAAAGTGGGGACCAGGGAGAAAATGAGGTCGCTTTATGTGGTTTTTATTTTATTTTATTATTTTATTTTTTGCAATTCTCAGTGGAAGGAACCGATCCCCAAACAGAAAACCCAGCTCTTCTTTGAAACTTGAGCTTCTTGGGGGGGGGGGCGCGGTTGTGGCACTTTCCTTCAGTTGAAAAACATGCATAAGATTTTTGATGAAGAATGCATGTGTTTGTTGGAAAATGCATACTCCCAATATACATTGTATTGAGGGAAATTATTTGCCCTCCTCCTCAAAAAATGTATATATGGGGCAAAAGGAGAGGCAATAAATATGTTGCTTGCCAGGAGAAATTTGCACTGAAATGCTAAGTTTTGGGGGGAGTGTTTTTTGTGGTTTTTTAAAAAAAGCAAAATGAAACCTGAAGTTGAGATTGTGCGAATCTCTGACCAGGCTCACAAATCCTGATGAAGGTATAAAAGAATACCTGGTGCCCTCTCTCGATGTGGTCATGGACAATGGATGTTGTAGTCCAGAAATATCCAAACGGCCTACACAGGCAACTGTTCCATGTCCCCTTATCTAGGAAGTCAATAATTCTCCCTTCATCTCCTTTGTTTTTCCCCCCTCTTCATTGTCTCGCAAAGTCTATAATTTTGATGGATGGCGCATTTAACTTTTTTTTTTTAAAAAAAAGAAACCTCGCATTGTTTCTGTGCTTAGGTCGAAAAGTTCTGAAGGCGAAAGTTGAGGGTGGAGAAACGGCGCTTGTTTTTGCTGCTTCGATTGTGAACTGAGTCCTTGTTTTAGGGACTTTTCTCCTCAAGGTCGGGGGTAGAATGGGGGGGGGGGAGATGCTCGCAGGCACCAGATCATGAGGGAATCAAATTCACACCTCGAGGTGGTGGGGATCCTTACCTGGGCCTTGTTGGAAAGCAAACGGAAGGGAATAAACAGGCATGTAGTATGCCAATGGATGTTCTCTTGTTGTTGTTGTTTAGTCATTTAGTTGTGTCCGACTCTTCGTGACCCCCTGGACCAGAGCACGCCAGGCACTCCTGTCTTCCACTGCCTCCTGCAGTTTGGTCAAACTCATGCTGGCAGCTTCAAGAACCTGTCCCACCATCCCGTCCTCTGTCATCCCCTTCTCCTTGTGCCCTCCATCTTTCCCAACATCAGGGTCTTTTCCAGGGAGTCTTCTCTTCTCATGAGGTGGCCAAAGTCTTGGAGCCTCAGCTTCAGGATCTGTCCTTCCAGTGAGCACTCAGGGCTGATTTCCGTCAGAATGGGGAGGTTTGATCTTCTTGCAGTCCATGGGACTCTCAAGAGTCTCCTCCAGCACCAGAATTCAAAAGCATCCATTCTTTGGCGATCAGCCTTCTTTATGGTCCAGCTCTCACTTCTGGGAAAACCATAGCTTTAACTATACCGTGGTACCTCATGTTAAGTACTTAATTCGTTCCGGAGGTCTGTTCTTAACCTGAAACTGTTCTTAACCTGAAGCATCACTTTAGCTAATGGGGCCTCCTGCTGCTGCCGCACCGCCGGAGCACAATTTCTGTTCTCATCCTGAAGCAAAGTTCTTAATCCGAGGTAATATTTCTGGGTTAGTGGAGTCTGTAACCTGAAGGGTATGTAACCTGAAGCATATGTAACCTGAGGTACCACTGTATGGACCTTTATCGACAAGCTGATGTCTCTGCTTTTTAAGATGCTGTCTAGGTTTGTCATTACTCTTCTCCCAAGAAGCAGGCATCTTTTAATTTCGTGGCTGCTGTTACCATCTGCAGTGATCATGGAGCCCAAGAAAGTAAAATCTCTCACTGCCTCCATTTCTCTCTACCCCAGTCCAAAATCTATGAAAATGTGCGAAGGAGGGAATCCAAACTTCCTCTATTTCCAACACCCCATTTTCTAGGGTTGCCATTTGTTGAGTTTTGTTTTTTTAAGGAAATGGTTGAACTTTTTTTAAACAAGCCCCAAAGTTGTGACTGTCAAAGACAAAGTTTTGCAGCTTTAGGGACCCTTTAGTCTAGGGAAAAGGCATGTAAAAGATGGCAAGATACAAGCTTCTAAAACAATTCGTGGCATTGTTTCATGGTTTTCCTCCATCTCTCATAAAATCAAACCTTGTGCACTGAATGCTGGGAGGTTTAGGCCAGAGAGGAGAATGGACTCCTTTCACGTAGGTCATAAACTCCCCTCTTTTTTATTTTTTGTATTGGATTTATAAACCGCCTTTGTCTTCCGAGGGTCTCAAGGTGGGATATTCCTTCTCCCCATCTCACCCTCACAACAGCCTTGTGAGCTAGGACCGGCTGAGAGAGATGGAGACTGGCCGAAGAACCACTCCAGTGAGATTTGTGGCTGAGTGGGGATTCGAACCCTACTCTCCCAGGTTCTAGTCCAATGCTCTAACCCAGGGGTCAGCAAACTTTTTCTTTTTTATATATATACACATTTTTATTGATTTTTTTAACCTATCAGTTCCAACAGTCATACAACAGAACTTCTCATCTTATACAATATTTTAGACTTCCATCAACACCTCTGATGATTTTCCGTTCTTTATCACTTACTCTGCATTTCTTAATTTCTATATTACATTTAATTATCCTTAACTAATAATTCTCTTCATAGTCTTTCTTGCAGTATTTCAAATAATCCACCTTACAAAACTTCTTACGGTCCTAACTAGCATAATCTGTTCATCACAATTACTTTTCAAATAGTTCATATATTTACTCCAGTCTTCTAAGAATCTCTGATCCCGCAGGTTTAGAATCCTTCCTGTTAATTTATCTAATTCTGCATAGTCCATCAACTTCACCCTCCATTCTTCTTTCGTCAGTAATTCTTCTTGCTTCCATTTTTGTGCCAATAATATTCTTGCTGCTGTCATTGCGTATAAAAACAAGTTACAATCCTGTCTATTTATATCACCTCCTACAATGCCAGGTAAAAATGCTTCTGGTTTCTTAATAAATGTATCTTTCAACATCTTTTTCATCTCATTATATATCATTTCCCAGAGGTTTTTCACGGGGTCAGCAAACTTTTTCAGCAGGGGGCCGGTCCACTGTCCCTCAGACCTTGTGGGGGGCTGGATTATATTTTTTTGGGGGGGAGGGAATGAACGAATTCCTATGCCCCACAAATAACCCAGAGATGCATTTTAAATAAAAGGACACATTCTACTCATGTAAAAACACGCTGATTCCCGGCCGTCTGTGGGCCGGATTTAGAAGGCGATTGGGCCGGATCTGGCCCCCGGGCCTTAGTTTGCCTACCCATGCTCTAACCATTATGCCACACTGACTCTTTCAAAGCCATCCAAGTTGATGGGCCATCGCTGCCCTCATGAGGCAGGGAGTTCCACAGTTTAACTATTCACTTCGTGAAGAAGTCCTTTCTCTTCACTGTCCGGAATCTTTCACCGTTCAGCTTCACGACTTGCAGGGTTAGGGGAGAGGCAGGCGGACGGAGGGCAGTCCTTGCCAGCGCTTTCCTCCTCTCTCGGTGTCAGTCTGGTCAGTCGCCTGTTGCTCCTCTCCTCTCCGTAGCCGAACCCATTGCTGCTGAACGGTGCCCTCCAAAGCTTTCGAAGCTGAGCAGCCTTGCTGCTTCCAACGCCCTGTCCTTAATCTTATTTTAGTCACAAGGTCTGCAGGAGGTAAGTCGCTGAGGACAAGGAGTTCTCTGGAAGGAGAGGCAGGAAAACGGATAAATGACCTTGTTTGCATCTTCTTTTTGGCCCCATGACTGAATCTGCTGTCTCATGATTTCTGAGAGGAAGCATTTAGATATTTGCAGTTTTTCTTCCCTTAGATAAACTCTGTCCTCCACCCTCACAAGATGGACCGTTGAGCTGTGTAGAAGCCCCATGATGGGTTCGACTCAGTCGATACGGCAGTTTCCATGAACCATGAGGACCAGAAGTTTGCTTTGTTTGGGGGCGAGGAGCCGTCACTCAGTTGCTGAGCGGCTGGTTTGCATTTAGAATCATAGATTTGGAAAGGGCTCAACAGGTCATCTAGTCCAACCCCAGAAATGCAAGAATCTCGGCTACAGCACCCAAGGTAGATGACTTGACTGCCCACTCCATCCCCTGGCTCCTGCAAGCCTTGTTTGCTGCTGTGGATCTTAACTACTCCTTGTTCTGGTACCACGCAATGAAATTTTAAAAATAAATAGAAACGCAAAAGTTTCTTAAAGTCTGGGGAAGTGAAAAGGACTTGGTTTGGTGCTTTTAAAAAAACCTTTTTGGGGTTTCATATGCAGAAGAAGAGTCATGTCAGATGAGGCTAAAGCAGGGGTCCCCAAACTAAGGCCCGTGGGCCGGATAAGGCCTGAGGGACTCGTTTATTTGGCTCTTACCGGCACTGCGCTGCGCGGCTGCCCACTTCCGGGTCGGACGAGCACTGGAAATAGCTTGTGCGCATGCGCAAGCGTTATTTGCGCATGCGCGTTATTTCCGGTGCATATCCAGGTTGGAGGAGGCCCGTGCACATACGCACAAGATATTTCCGGTGCTCCTCCGACCCGGAAGTGTACCAGAAATAGCGTGTGCACACGTGTATGGGCACGTGCTCCCCGCCTTCCGACTCATGGCGCAATCAGCACTGGAGACACCGGCCCGAGGCGCTATAAGTTTACTGACCCCTGTGCTAAAGGGAGCTCCTCTAGTCCAGCATCCTTGTTCTCGTTGTTGTTTAGTCGTTTAGTCGTGTCCGCCTCTTCGTGACCCCCTGGACCAGAGCATGCCAGGCCCTCCTGTCTTCCACTGCCTCCTGCAGTTTGGTCAAACTCATGTTGGCAGCTTCGAGAACACTGTCCCACCATCTCGTCCTCTGTCGTCCCCTTCTCCTTGCGCCCTCCATCTTTCCCAACATCAGGGTCTTTTCCAGGGAGTCTTCTCTTCTCATGAGGTGGCCAAAGTCTTGGAGCCTCAGCTTCAGGATCTGTCCTTCCAGTGAGCACTCAGGGCTGATTTCCTTCAGAATGGAGAGGTTGGATCTTCTTGCAGTCCATGGGACTCTCCAGAGTCTCCTCCAGCACCAGAATTCAAAAGCATCCATTCTCTGGCGATCAGCCTTCTTTATGGTCCAGCTCTCACTTCCATACATCACTACTGGGAAAACCATAGCTTTAACTATACAGGCCTTTCTCTATGAGAAACCTTGTTCTCCTAGAGAGACCAAATGCCCCAAAGAACCTAGGAATCCAGATAGACTGTGACTAAACCTGGAGGTTCCACAAGAGCCTGGCTGCTGTATCAGACCAAAGGGGGGCTATCTAGTCCAGCGTCCTGTTGGCACAATGGCCGGCCAATTGCCGCAAAGGGAACCCCGAAAGGGAACGACCGCAACTCTCCTCCTTTTCAGTCCCCAGCAGCTGACATCCAGAGTCACACTGGACTCTGATATTTCGCACCTGCCTCTCTTGGCGGTTTCAAGTGTCAGCAGATGCACGTTTGGTGTTGTTGCTTTTTTCGTGATTATTCCTTTCTTCTTCTTCCGCTCTGGCGTTTCTAACTGGCAGGATTGGTAAGGAAGCCGCAAAGCTCTCCTTGTAGCACGGAGACAGGCCGTAATCCCGCCGGTTCAATACAGGTTGCAGCGGGTCACGGAGAGGGGATTAAAAAGCAAACTGGTTGCCTGCGTGAGCATCATGATCTCGGCAAAGGCTGCGAATCCCTTTATCTCCTTCTTCCTTGCGCTCCTGCCTGCCTGCCTGCCGTTCCTGGAGCTCTTCCAGTTCCAAGCTCCTGGCACCGCACTGTAATTTGTCCTTTGTGTTCGTTTGTAATTATTACATGTAAAATAAAATTTGATGAGCCGGGGACGGGCCCAGCTTGGATTCAGGAGTCTGCAACTTTGACCGTCTCGGTGTTCTGAGAAGGGAAGGGAAATGCGAAGCGTTCAAGTTCCTAGTCCTCATTGCCAGGAGGGTTTCTGGGCATTGCATGGATGAAAAACCTAAGAAGTCAGAAAGGAGTTAGGGTGAAGTTCGAAACAGGGTGGCACGGTTCAAAATCTGCCCGTCCCTGCCCTGAACCAGATTTTGTATGACTGGATAAAGGTAAAGGGACCCCTGACCATTAGGTCCATTCATGACCGACTCTGGGGTTACGGAGCTCATCTCACTTTACTGGCTGAGGGAGCCGGCGTACAGCTTCCGGGTCATGTGGCCAGCATGACAAAGCTGCTTCTGGCGAACCAGAGCAGCGCACAGAAACACCGTTTACCTTCCCGCTGGAGCGGTACCTATTTATCTACTTGCACTTTGATGTGCTTTCGAACTGCTAGGTTGGCAGGAGCAATGGGAGCTCACCCCATCGCGGGGATTCGAACCGCCGACCTTCCGATCAACAAGTCCTAGGCTCTGTGGTTTAACCCACAGCGCCACCCACGTCCCTATGACTGGATAGATTTGATGATTTACTTATTTAGTGACAGAATAGTGGTTTCTGTGTTGTGAGGCTAAATAGTTGGGGGGTTTTCTGCTTTATTTTCTGATTTGTGTTCTCCCCCTCTCTTCCTGAGAAATGAGTCGTAGTCCTAAATGGAGCCTCCAGGTTCAAGAGCAGTCTATCCACAAAAAGCCACTCAGCTCGGGAACAGTGGCAGGGCACTGCTGCTGCTTTTGTACCCAAGCTTGCGGGCTTGTCAAAAGCCCTTGTCTGAACAGCTGTCGAAAGCTGGACCGGGTGGGAAAGACGACAACTCCGTATGATCTCACACCAGGGCCCTTTAACACCCTTCAACAGGTGCTGGTGTCCCCTTCCGGCACACCACAAACTTTTTTTTAAAAAAAGGATTTGGCGCATTCATGGAGGAAGAAGGGGTTCTGTTGACCTCGCTTGGTTGTGGCGACTAAATAGAGCCTCCGTAGTCCAGCGCAGTCTATCTGTGCATCACAGTGTTCTTGATCTGTGGCCTGGGGTGTAGCCAAAAGAGGAATCAGCCTGTCTTTTCTGCTCTGTATTTCACTCCAGCCCCCCTAGAGCTCCCACAAATCTTGCATTTAGTTAACATCTCCTTTTGGTTTCCTTTTTTTAAAACATTTTTTTATTAGGAATTTCAACATAACATTTTATCAAAAGAAAAACAAGTCATCCTTAATTCCCCCCCCCTATTTTTCCCTCACCCAAACATATAACTCCCCTCCCCCCAGACTTCCCTCAGCTCCTTTCTCTGATTTATCAACATTTGCTATTCTCTGCACGTTGCAAAATTGTACAAATTCTTGATTCATCTATCTAAATGTTATCAATAAAAAGTTTGTGAATGTTTATTCAAAACCTGCCAAGGAGTCCACTTCATTTTGTTGTTTCTTTAAGTACTTTGCAAAGGGTTCCCATTCATCTTTGAAGTCACAGTTATCTTCGTCACGTAGTTTATGTGTCAGTTTTGCCAATTTGCGTAGTCCATTAACTTCTATTGCCACAGTTCTTTAGTCGGGACTTCTTCGTTCTTCCATCCTTGTGCTATTAAGACTCTTGCTGCTGTTGTCGCATACATGAAAATATTTTTAAATTTCCTTGGCAGGTCTTTTCCTACAATCCCTAACAAAAATGCTTCAGGTTTTTTGACAAATGTTAGTTGGAACTTTTTCTTCAACTCATTATATATCGTTTCCCAAAATTTACTACAATCCCACCACATATGATAAAAGGTGCCTTCTTTTTCTTTACATTTCCAACACATATTTGAGCTGGTTTTGTACATTCTTCCTAGCTGCACTGGTGTTGTGTACCACCTATACATCATTTTCATGTAATTTTCTTTCAGCAAAGAGAGCAATCTGTAAATTTCAAGTCAGTTTTCCATAGTCTTTCCCAATCTTCCAACGTAATATTATGACCTATAGCTTGTGCCCATTTAATCGTAACTGATTTCACCTCTTCATCTTTCGTCTCCCATTCTAACATCATCTCCTTTTGGTTTCCAAGACACAGCTCTCCTTTTAATATCTCAACCTTTTCTCCTCTCCGCCCCGCCCCCCGCCAGCCCTGTGCCTCTCCACCCAAAATGAAGTGTGCCTGTCAAGAGGAGAATCATTTGACCAGCATGGGACGGCCGGCGTTGAAGAAGAAGCAATCTAGAGATGAACAGGCAGAGTCAGGAGAGGCAGAGAGAGAGAAAGACCCCTTTTCTCTCTCTCTCTCTCTCTCTCTGTCTCTCTCTCATTACAAGTTTGCCCGCTTGCCTGCCTGCTTACAGACGCCAAGTGTGCTTTGTTGAGTGGCGGGCAAAATCTTGGCAGTTGTTTCCCCCCCGAAGCACCAGCCCTGTTCCATTGCGCAGCCCCAGGTCGCAGAAGCAGCTGCGATGCTCCTCTGAGCACTCCTTTCCCCCCTTATTAAATGCGGCGGATTTGAATTCAGGTGTCGCGGAGAGCGAGGGGCCGCGCCGAGCGAGGTTTCCGGCTGGTTGGGATTCGGGTCCATGCCAGTGACAGATGGGCAAGATTCCTGATCGGGGACAGGACATGTCTTCCTCAAAATCCTGGGGTGGAATAAATACGAGGGGGCTCCCTTGCCTCCCCATCTGTCAGAATTTATGAAAACTTTCCAAGTGTGAGGATGTTCTGAGGCTAAAAGAATACAGACGGGGACATTTTTTGGAGGTGTCCCAGGGCCCTTTTGCATTCCCGCCCCAAATCTCCTTTTTCATTCATTACTATAATGATTATTTAGGGACGCGGGTGGCGCTGTGGGTTAAACCACAGAGCCTAGGACTTAGAATCATAGAATCATAGAGCTGGAAGAGACCACAAGGGCCATCGAGTCCAACCCCCTGCCAAGCAGGAAACACCATCAGAGCACTCCTGACATATGGTTGTCAAGCCTCTGCTTAAAGACCTCCAAAGAAGGAGACTCCACCACACTCCTTGGCAGCAAATTCCACTGTCGAACAGCTCTTACTGTCAGGAAGTTCTTCCTAATGTTTAGGTGGAATCTTCTTTCTTGTAGTTTGGATCCATTGCTCCGTGTCCGCTTCTCTGGAGCAGCAGAAAACAACCTTTCTCCCTCCTCTATGTGACATCCTTTTATATATTTGAACATGGCTATCATATCACCCCTTAACCTCCTCTTCTCCAGGCTAAACATGCCCAGCTCCCTTAGCCGTTCCTCATAAGGCATCGTTTCCAGGCCTTTGACCATTTTGGTTGCCCTCCTCTGGACACGTTCCAGTTTGTCAGTGTCCTTCTTGAACTGTGGTGCCCAGAACTGGACACAGTACTCCAGGTGATGTCTGACCAGAGCAGAATACAGTGGCACTATTACTTCCCTTGATCTAGATGCTATACTCCTATTGATGCAGCCCAGAATTGCATTGGCTTTTTTAGCTGCCGAGTCACACTGTTGGCTCATGTCAAGTTTGTGGTCAACCAAGACTCCTAGATCCTTTTCACATGTACTGCTCTCAAGCCAGGTGTCACCCATCTTGTATTTGTGCCTCTCATTTTTTTTGCCCAAGTGCAATACTTTTACATTTCTCCCTGTTAAAATTCATCTTGTTTGTTTTTGCCCAGTTCTCTAATCTGTCAAGGTCGTTTTGAAGTGTGATCCTGTCCTCTGGGGTGTTAGCCACCCTCCCAGTTTGGTGTCATCTGCAAATTTGATCAGGATGCCCTTGAGTCCATCATCCAAGTCGTTGATAAACATGTTGAATAAGACCGGGCCCAAGACAGAACCCTGTGGCACCCCACTAGTCACTCTTCTCCAGGATGAAGAGGAACCATTGATGAGCACCCTTTGGGTTCGGTCAGTCAGCCAGTTACAAATCCACTGAGTGGTAGCATAGTCAAGACCGCATTTTACCAGCTTCTTTACAAGAATATCATGGGGCACCTTGTCAAATGCCTTGCTGAAATCAAGGTAGGCTACATCCACTGCGTTCCCTTCATCTACCAGGCTTGTAATTCTGTCAAAAAACGAACTTGCTGATCAGAAGGTCGGTGGTTCAAATCCCCGTGACGGGGTGAGCTCCCGTTGCTCGGTCCCAGCTCCTGCCAACCTAGCAGTTCAAAAGCACGTCAAAGTGCAAGTAGATAAATAGGTACCACTCCGGCGGGAAGGTAAACGGCGTTTCCGTGCGCTTCTCTGGTTCACCAGAAGTGGCTTAGTCATGCTGGCCACATGACACGGAAGCTGTACGCCGGCTCCCTTGGCCAATAAAGCGAGATGAGCACCGCAACCCCAGAGCCGGCCATGACTGGACCTAATGGTCAGGGGTCCCTTTACCTTTACTATAATGATTATTGATTTGACTTATGAATCACTTGTTGCCCTGAAGGTCTCCAAGAGGCAGTGTCGCATAGTGGTTAGAGCATCAGATGATTAATTATGATTCATTTCATTTCTATCCCAGCTTCCCTCCAATGAGCTCAAGATGGCGTCCGTAGTTCTCACTCCCTTCATTTTATCCTCGCGACACCCCTGTGAGGTTGAGCTGAGAGAGGCAGAGACTGGCCCAAAGTCGCCCTGAGCAGGGATTCGAACCTTGATCTCCCAGCTCTTACACTAGGGCTGGGTGATAACACCTCCCGCTAATACAACATTGTGTGTTGAGATTTCCTGGGCGCCAAGACATTTGGGAGAAACAGACGGAGACCCCATTTTTTATAGCTAGGGGTGCATTCGTCCCCCACCCCGGGTCCTGCTGAGGCTGCCCTTCTCCTCCGCCCTAAATTTCGGACGAGCAATGGATTCGCAGCCCCTCTCCGCTCTCGGAAGGAGGGGAGTGTCTTATCACCCTAATGAAAGGAGAAAGATTCGTCTCAGGCGACCCTGAGTGAGATGTCGAAGGTGGGGGAACCCGAGCGGAAAACATATATATATATTTGGCTCCCGCCTGACCGCATCCGTGCCAGTCCCATCAGAGCCACACAGCAGGGAGAGTTTCTTATTTTGAGCAAGGGACAAAGAAAGGCTGGAGACCGGCTGCTCTGCATGAAAAATGGCCCCAACGTTGACCCCCAGAGGCAGCTGGATGTGGCCTCCTTTGCACCAGCCCTCTGCCCCATGAGGACTAGAACCTTGCTTTGTTTGGAAGGGTCCCCAGCCCCGGGTCCAAACCTGGAAGGACTGGGGAAGTCCCCTGTTGGAAACTCTTGCTCTTGATAGGCTCACACTTCCTCTGAAGGAGCAGGTTCATAGCTTGGGGCTGCTCCTGGGTCCTTTGCTGTCACTCAAGGCTCGGGTGGCCTCAGCGGCCCAGAATGCCTTCCATCAGCTTCGGCTGGTGGCCCAGCTACACCCCTATCTGGACAGGAATAGCCTAACTACTGTTGTCTATGCTCTGGTAACTAAGGTTAGATTGCTGCAATGCGTTCTACGTAGGGCTGCCTCTGAAGACGGTTCAGAAACTTCAGCTGGTGCAGAATTTGACAGCCAGGTTGCTCACCGGAGCAAGATGGTTTGTGCCTATGGTCCGACTGCACTGGCTACCAATTAGTTTCCGGGCCCAATTCAAAGTGCTGGTTCTGATCTATAAAGCCTTAAACCAGGGGTCAGCAAACTTTTTCAGCAGGGGGCCGGTCCACCGTTCCCTAGACCTTGTAGGGGGCCGGACTATATTTTTTGGGGAAATGAACAAATTCCTATGCCCCACAAATAACCCAGAGATGCATTTTAAATGAATGCACACCTTCTACTCGTGTAAAAACATGCTGATTCCCAGACCATCCGTGGGCCGGATTTAGAAGGCGATTGGCCAGATCCGGCCCCCGGGCCTTAGTTTGCCTACCCATGGACTACCATATTTTTTTGCTCTATAAGACTCACTTTTTCCCTCCTAAAAAGTAAGGGGAAATGTGTGTGCGTCTTATGGAGCGAATGCAGGCTGCGCAGCTATCCCAGAAGCCAGAACAGCAAGAGGGATTGCTGCTTTCACTGCGCAGCGATCCCTCTTGCTGTTCTGGCTTCTGAGATTCAGAATAAATTTTTTCTTGTTTTCTTCCTTCAAAAACTAGGTGCGTCTTGTGGTCTGGTGCGTCTTATAGAGCGAAAAATACAGTATATTATCCTTGGAGTCCCTTCCAGCTGCACAATTTTATAAAGAAAGAAGACAAGGGTTCACGAATGCAGCCAGGGGGTGTGCCAATGTCATTTGTGGATCGGAGTAATGTGGCAGAGGAGAGACCACCCCCAGATTTTCCCCCAGGGAGTCAGGGATGCTCTACTGTCTCTCTTAAAAGCCTGCAAATGAAACCCGGTTGAAATTGCCCAGATTGACAGAGCCAGCCCTGTAGATTTCCTTCCTCGCAGGGAGGAAGGAGCGGGAAGTTTTCCAGGAAAGCCTCGCTGCCGGGCAGCTTCCAAGGCCAGGCCGCAGCTGCCGACGGGGCGTTTTGGCTGGAGAGCGCAGGAGGAAGGTAGCTTGGCGTCTGGGCAGGAAATGGTGTGTATTTAACGGGATTAAGGCCCAGGATCTTCAGAAAAGGCGGTCAGAGGTAAATCTCTGAATCCCAGGCAGCCTGTGGATTCCAGCCAGCCAGCCAGGCGGTTGGTTGGTTGGTTGGCTGAGTAGACCCATTGGAATCCATGGGCACAGCTGACTCAGAGCAGATCCGCCCGGCATTAATGGATGTGAGTAAAATTTAGCCTGCCTGCTTTCTTTCTTTCTTTTCAATTAATTTCCAGATTTTGGAAGATTAACATTTTAATTTTATTTCTTAAGAACTTAAGAAGGGCCTGCAGCTGGATCAGGCCCGTCTTAAGTCCAACGCCCCTTTCTTCAAGTGGCAACCCAGTTGCCTCTTGGAAACCACCAAGACACAGGATCCGAGCACAAAAGCTAGTTTCCTGCAACTAGCATTCAGAATCATCGAATCATACAGCTGGAAGGGACCCCAAAGGACATCTAGTCCAACCCCCTGCAATGCAGGAATCCTGCCCGCAGCCGTCCCTGGGTGGGATTGAACCACCAACCTTCTGGTTAATGGTCCGATGCTCTGACCCACAGCGCCACCTCTGTTTCTGTTCGTTGACGCAGATCATAGCCATTGTGGCTGATAGCCATTGACAGCTCACCCCTCGATGATGTATATAGCCTGCCTTCATTCTTCCAAGGAACTCAAAGGAAGGACATGCACATGTGATAGGAAATTTGAGGTCTTAAAGGTAAAGGGACCCCTGACCATTAGGTCCAGTCGTGACCGACTCTGGGGTTGCGGCACTCATCTCACTTTATTGGCCAAGGGAGCCGGCATACAGCTTCCAGGTCATGTGGCCAGCATGACTAAGCCGCTTCTGGCAAACCAGAGCAGCGCACGGAAACGCCGTTTACCTTCCCGCTGGAGCGGTACCTATTTATCTACTTGCACTTTGACATGCTTTCGAACTGCTAGGTTGGCAGGAGCAGGGACCGAGCAACGGGAGCTCACCCCGTGGTGGGGATTCGAACCGCTGACCTTCTGATCGGCAAGTCTTAGGCTCTGTGGTTTAACCCACAGCTCCACCAGCATCCCTTTGAGGTCTTAGATATATGTTAAATGTTCATAAGTGTACCAACCAAGCACATACATAGATCAACACAGGAAGACCGACCTGAAACCATTTTTGATTCCCAACTGACCTCAATTCTTTCTCTGCAAGGTCAAAGGAAAATGGAAAAGCCTCCCCATTGTCTTTTCCTTCACAAATCCTGTCTTAAGGGCACATTTAAGATATGAATAGGGTGTGAGCCTGTGACCTGGCTCAGGAACTAAGTATTTATCATTACAAAAGACTGGCCAGGCTCCCCAGGCAACCCAATCAAGTGACCATTCAACAGGTAACCTGGCAAACAGGAGGTAAACAAAGCACTCAGATTTCTGTTGTAGACCGCCTTTTCTGTGATGTAGGTATGTGGGTGGAGGTCTTGAGCTACACCCCGTTTGTGATGTATGTATGATGTTTCTGGGGGTGGGCTTGATCTACAGGGTGGCAATTTCAAAAGTCTATATAAGGGCTTGCACACCATTTTTCTGGGTCCTCCTCCTTTCCTGCGTGTGAGGGGAGCCCCCTGTTGCAACAGATCAATAAAGATCAGGCTTACTAGCTGCTTTGCTTCTCAGTATTCTCTGGTTGGCCTCTGTTATTTTCTCCTACCAATAGGGAACCTACATAAGGACTCTATATGGGCTCTTGGATACCCCATAAGGGAGAAAAGGGGCAGATTTTTGTTTACAACCTACACATTTTCCTGCTTCTCCCTTTTGTGTTCACAACAAGCCTGTGAGGTAGGCCAGGGATTTTATTTTGGGGGGGGGGAGTCCCAAGGGCAGGGATGGCCTGAGATTCACCACTCCTGAATTAAATGAAGGCCCTTTGATCCCCTTTTCTTCAGCTCCCCATCACCACAAAGGCTCCCTGAGCAACTTTTCGTCGACAAGACAGCCGTTTGCTCTTAACTCTCTTGAAAAGCCACGGCACAAAAGGAAAGACGGATTGGGAGGGAGGAAGTGAACTCTGGCACCTTGCGGGAAAGCTGCCTTTAACTTTCAAGCCTGCCGTAATCTAGCCTCAAAAGCAAAGAGGGAGTTTGTGCGAAAAGGCCCGGAGGAAAATGTCAGCAAGCAGCCCCCGATTGTTTTGGTTTTTTTAACGCGGGGATAAAAAGTCGCCGCCAAATGAGCGGCAATGGCTTCAATTTGCCAATCCCCGGAACGTAGCCATTACATTCTGTTGCAAATAGTAAAGATGGATTAAACCGGGGAATGCTAACTTACTTGGCAACGTCCCTCCCCTCTAAGCAAGTGCTAAAATTAACATGCAAACCAGCAACGAGCGCATTGCTCCATTCATACATAAAACGCTGGCTTGGTCTTATTATCTGCGTTCGCACTCGAGGCCGGGGTCGTGATCTATAGGCCGCCCCACTGGGGGATCCTTGACGAAAATCCTTCATCCTTTCTGGTCATTATCTGCTCAAAATCTTGGGGAAGGGCCACATCTCTGTGGGAGAACAGCTGTGTTGAATGCAGAAGGACGCGGGTTCAAATTCCATCATCTCCTGGTAGGGTTGTGAGAGAAGCCCTGCCAGAAACCTTGAAGAGTTGTTGCCAGTCAGTGTTGGAAATATTGAACTAGATCATGGGTAGGCACACTAAGGCCTGGGGGCCGGATCCGGCCCAATCGCCTTCTAAATCCGGACCGCCCAGTGTGTTTTTACATGAGTAGGATGTGTCCTTTATTTAAAATGCATCTCTGGGTTATTTGTGGGGCATAGGAATTCATTCATTCCCCCCCCCCATATAGTCTGGCCCCCCACAAGGTCTGAGGGACAGTGGACCAGCCTCCTGCTGAAAAAGTTTGCTGACCCCTGATATAGTCCAGTGAAGGAATATGTACCTGGAGCTAAACTGTAACCTGTCTCGTGACTTTTCTGTCGCCTTAAATGAGCTGTCCCAGTCAGGGGGACTCCTCCTCTTCTGCAACCTCCACAGCGGAGCCTCTGAGCATGTACAGACTGCCGCCGCCTCTCCCTCTGGCCCCCAACCTCCCCATGCGGTGATCTGGCCCCTGAGCCCTTGAGAGCTTCAAGCGGACATTTGAGCTCCGATCTCTCCTAGGTCCTAGTCCAACCACTGAACAACACTGCCTTTTTTTATAGAGAGAGGAAAATCAGCACATTTTGGCATTCTGCTTGCGTTTTTGTTTTTTGCCTGCCCTGGATTTCATTGCAATAGTGTTCTCCTTTGCACAGCTGCTAATTTTTCGTCCTGTTTCCAAGTGGTGGGAAAAAGAGAGAAATGGGGTTTGTGTGTGTCCTGGTTCCTCTCCCCCCCACCCCCCAAAAAATGTATTAAGCCCCATTTCTGCTCCCTGCGTAAGTGACTCCCGCAGCCCCCCCTCCTCTGTCGCTTCCATATTCCGTATTCGCAACGGCAACGAGGCCTGAATTATTTATAGTTTAATTTCCAATGCGAGCGCCAGAGCCCTGCGGACAGAGGGGGAGAACTGGGAAGGGGGGAGGCCTGTGCCGACCGGATTCCGTCGCTGCTGCCCCCTGGTGGCCGGAACAAGGTGGACCCACACGTGGGGGGCGAGTGGGGGTTCTCCCACCTTGAAGGCCCACCCCCCCAGGTTCCCCCCTGCAAAAGAAGCCGGAATAGGACTGGAGCTAGAAGGAAAACTGTAAGGCACGAACGGCGAAACCCCAGGGCCGCCTCGCCTTCCCGGGGGCCGCATGCCGTGGTGGGCGGAGCCAGGGGCACGAGTGCGAATCCTGACCTCAGATTTGGCAAAACGCGACGCTGGTTTTCTTTCTTCCCCAAGAAACTTGTTGAATCGTTCTTTCATTTGGGATCCCTGTTTTGAGGGAGGCGTTTCTGTCCGGGGAATTGCGGCAGCGGCCGTTGGGAATTTTTTATACATAAAAAAGAGCTATAAAGGATGTCTGTGTGTTTGCCGTGAGGATGGGGCTGGTTCCAGGTTTGGTTGCTGAAGGCTTCTCTAGGTAGGAAAGAGTCCCGGGCTGCAAACTTGGAAAGCCGCTAATGGACGCGGCGAAGGGCAGCTTCCTTTGCTCCTGGATTCGCTTATTGGTACAAAATGTGCGGCGCGTGGAGTAAGCAAGCACTGAGTCTTGATTTAAGGGGATTTGGAGGCTAGGAAAACTAGCAGTTTTGCGTTTTGCAAAGTTCAGGCGGCTTTAGGACATTCATGAGGACTAGAAACCTGCTCATTCTTTGTTTCCAAGAATTTCTATTCATGAGGGCTAGAAACCTGCTCAGCTTTAAAACACTTAGATTCCAAGAAGGACCAGAAGCCTGCTCAGCTTTAAAACGCTTTGATTCCAAGATCTGTGTTCATGAGGGCTAGAAGCCTGCTGAGCTTTAAAACGTTTTGATTTGAAAAATCTCTTTTTATGAGGACTAGAAACCTGCTCAGCTTTAAAACGCTTTGATTCCAAGATCTGTGTTCATGAGGACTAGAAGCCTGCTGAGCTTTAAAATGCTTGGATTCAAAAAATCTCATTTCATGGGGACTAGAAGCCTGCTCAGCTTTAAACCGCTTCGATTCCAAGAAGGTAGAAAGCCTAACAATGTGGAACCCTGTCAGCTCCTCCAAAAAACCCCTGACAACACAGTTTTCTCAAACTCCCTGCTTTCTCCCCCAAAGTCATCTCTCTCTCTCTTTCTCTCTCTTTCTCTCTCTCTCTCTCCCTGCTTTATGGGGAGGCAGCAAGACAGCTGGAGAATTCTCTAAAATTAGCCCATCGTTGCTCAGAGGCGCCGGAATATAATGTGGAGTTGATGAGAAGTAATATATTAAATTTACATCGAAGATGGCCCAGGGTAAGGATTAGACTGGCGTGTGGGGGGCTCTGGATTTTAATTGGCATAATATTTCATTTAATTACATTGTCTAATTTCGGAGACCACGCCATCGCGGGGTCTTAAATCTTAATGCGAGGAGGGAATCTTTTGCAGCGCCTGGCCCCATAATGGGGGCCCCGTTAGCTCCTTGCGATCAATTCGGTGACAAGGTTTTAACTCCTTAGCGGGTAGCTAAGTGGCAGGTCTTAAGCCCGCTGAGGAAGTCAGACGCCGTCAAGGACTGGTATCGGGAGGGCGGATATAGAATAGGACAACCAACACTCCCCCCCACCAATATCTTCGCAGGGTGCTGCCTCGAACACCGGGTTGCCAACTTTTTTCCCAGCCCGCGCTCCTCCGCCTTAAGATCACGCACGGTCTGCAGATGGCGGCGACCGATCACGCTTCTCCCTGCCTCTTGACAATTCTCCCCCGCTGGTTACATAAGGAGAGACCGGCTAGCTGGATCAGGCTCTCTTTTTTTTAATATACATTTTTACTGATTTTTTAACATATCAGTTCCAACAGTCATACAACATATCTTCACACCGTACACAATATTTTTGACTTCCCACCTCTGATGATTTTCCGTTCTTTATCGCTTATTCTGCATTTCTTAATTTCCTATTACACTTAATTATCCTTAACTAATAATTATTTTCTTAGTCTT